GTTGGTTAGGTCGTTGATGGCCCCCATCCAAAGGACATTTTTCTGTCATCCTCCCTAGTCTCCCCATCACTGGCTTCTGGCGCTGTTGACAGTCTTTTCCTGATCCGCCCTCCTCCCGAGTTTCTGTGACTTGCGGGCTGGCTTCCCGCCTGCCTGTCTCCCCAGCCTATTCCCCTGCCTTCTCTGCCCTCCACTACCTGCTGGAGCTCCTGGAGGCTGGGCCTCTCCTCTCCTCATTTTATTCGGTCTCCTCGGGTGATCTCAGGCCTCCTTGAGGCTTTGATTATAACTTAGGATGACTCACACATTTCACCTTCCACCCCAGACCTGGATGCCTGACGACTGTCTCCACCTTCCCCTTGGAAGTCAACACCTATGTGTCCACGAAGGAACTCAGGATCTCCCCCAGGCCTGGCCCTCTTCCAGTATCAGCCAGCCTGGAAAATGGCACTATCTCCATCTGGTTCCCAAGCCAGGAAGCCAGGAGTCATCTTGGATATTTCATCCCTCCTCCCCAATCTAACGATTTGTGGCCAAATCCCTAAGTGTTACCTTCTAAGGTCTCTTTAAAATCCATCCACTGTCCTCCATCCCAACCACCAGTGCCAGCATATAGGGGTGTGCACAAATGCCACCACCCAGACCTCTTGCCGATTCTACAATACTTAGTAACTCGCCTTCCTGTCAGGTCTTTCCAAACCATTTTTCAACCTGCAGCTAGAGGGATCTTCCTAAAATGCAAGTCTAATCATGTGGTTCCTTTGCATAATTGCTCTTAGTGCCTGGCTTGGCCCACGTCTCCCAGAGTTATCACCCATCAAGTCCCCTGGTTTACCTGAATGGCCTGGCCCTTTCTAACATATTCTTTGGCATCCTCCAGCCAGTGTGGCCTTCCTGCAGCTACTCAAATGTGCCAGGACCCTCCCCCACGTGGCCTTTACCTGCAATGTTCTTCTTCCCCTCCCCACCTCTGGAACCAGGATTCCTCACTTAGGTCCCAGCAGTCAGTGCACCCCTCCTCAGACTAGGGCATCTCCCCAGTTACACAGTCACACGGAGACTATCCCTCTCCGGAGCATTAGGATCACTGTGTGTTTGATGGTTAACACTCTTTTGTGTGAATCTTTTGTCTTTGGTGAATGTCTGTCAGCATCATAATGGTAAGAATTATGTTCCCTTTCTTTCTTACCAATGAATCCTTAGCAACTAGAACACAAACGGTTCTCAATAAAACATTTGTTGAAGTAATGAATTACCTAGAAAATATGGTGTAATATGATTTTGCCACTTTCCGAAAAATATTAAATGCCTAGTTCACTTTGTGACCAGTGGGGACAGATCCTCATCTCCACCTGCTGTCCATGGGAACAGGCTTCCTGCCATATTCCGAGAAAAGGAATTTTCTGAGACTCGCATGAGGATGAAATACTGCAGAAAGCTTTATTACTGTGGAATCAAACCCCTGAGTTTCCAGGGTCCCATTTCCCTTTGTCCCACCAAGGAAGACGTGTAGCTGGGGCTTCAGCAGAGCTAAAATCAAAGCGAGTGTCCAGAATGTCTGTTCCATCCCCCCACACTCCAGTGCAGCGAAACCAAAAGTTGGTTCTTTATAAAAAATCAGAACTGACAAACCCTTAGCTGGTCTCACCAAGAAAAAAAAGATGTAAATGACTAAAATCAGCTGTGAAAGCACAGCCTTGTAAATATACAGAAAACTACACTATGCACTTTAGATGAGTGAATTTTATATGTGAAATATAACTCAGAAGAGCTGTAAAAAAGAAAGGACAGGCAAACCTGAATGTTTATAAAAACCAATATAGGACAAAGGGAGCATCATAAATCAATGGGGATTGGGAGGAAAAAGTAGTTCTGTTGTTCATGCTAAAAACAAAAAAAGAACCTTAGGTAAGGAAGGCCCTTTCTTGACCAGTGGCTCCCAAACGTTCTCTTGCCTCAGAATCACCTGGAGGGCTTGTTAAAGCAGATTTTTGCCCCCTCCCCCCCAAGTTTCTGATATTGTAGGTGTGAATAGATAATGTTTTACACGTCTATCAGGCCTGTGTTATGCAAATACTGCTAAGAGACCACAGTTTCAGAACCACTTGTAGATATAAAAACAAAGAACTCATAAAAGAAAGGTCAAAAACTCTTTGTAGGGTATGTTTAAGTATCTAATATCAAACATCGCATAAACTAAAAAGGCAAAAATTGGGGAAAATAATTTGCATAAAAAATAATTGACAAGTCCTTACTCTAAAATCTCATGGTTTCATGTAAAAAATTTAAGACTTGACTGGTTAAATAAACAAAAGACATAGGACATAAAGTTTTATCAATGAGGAAGTATAGGTACCTACAAATTTCCCTCTAGCAATATTCCATAAGTTTTGGTATTTTGTGTTTTCATTTTCAATTATCTGTCTTTTCTAATTTCCCTGTGATTTCTTCTTTTACCCGTTGAGTGAAAAGGGTGTCTTGTTATGTTAATGACTGACTTTTGGAAAGCCCCTCGGTAATCTAAAGAAGGGGCTGGCCGCCTGGGGGACCAACCATGTGACCAGAGGGTGGGACCTCTGAGGAGGGGAGAGGGGCTGCATATTGAGCCCAATAATCAATGGTCAATGATTTATTAGCTGTGCCTATGTAATGAAACCTCCACGAACACCTAAAGGATGGGGTTTGGAGAGTTCCTGAGTTGCTGACTGTGTGGAGGTACTGGGAGAGTGGAGCTCTCGGAGAGGACGTGGAAGCTTAGAGCCCTTTCCCCACAACTTAACATATGCCTATCTTCCACCTGGAAGCTCCCCAGTTATATCCTTTTATCATAAACCAGTAATCTAACAAGTAAAATGTTTCTCGGAGTTCTGAGGGCCACTCTAGCAAATTAAATGAGTTGAACCCAAGGAGGGGGGTCATTGGAACCTCCAATCTACAGCACAGGGGACAACCTGGCCTTCTGACTGGAATCTGGAGTGGGGCAGTCTTCTGGGGCTGCCCCCTTAACCTAGGGTATCTCACCCTATCTCCAGGTGTATACTGTTCGAATTTAATGGAACTGCAGGGTACCCAGCTAGTGCTGGAGATTTGCTTAGTGTGAGGGGAAAAACTGCACACATCAAAATTGGGAGCAGAATTATATTCCTTAACTATACTTTAAAATTTATTCTCTTAGTGGCTGTTCTTCGGATTACAATTAGCATCTTTAAAAACACCTACCTTGGACTCACACTAACTTAATTTCAGTGGGTAGCCAATAGTTGCTCTGATGTTATACTTACGTTCCCTCCACACTCTCTTGTGCCATCGCTGTCATCCACACTACATCTTCATACATTATAAGCCCATTAACGGAGTTTTGTAATTATTGCTTAGGCAGTGTGTTTTAAAAGAAACAGTTGCAAACAAAAATAAGTTTGTACTGTCCTTTATAAAGCCTATGTGGTTACTTTTACCAGAGCTCTTTACTTGTTCACGTGGCCTGAAGGGCTCCCTTTCGTATTTCTTGTAGGGCAGGTCTACTAGTGATAGATGCTCTTATTTTTGTTTACCTTCCAATGTCTTGACTTCTCCTTTGTTTTCAAAGGAGCATTTAGCTATAGAATTTTTGGTTGAAAGTCTTTTCTTTCAGCACTTGAAAGATATCAGCCCACTGTCTTCTGACGAGAATTCAAGTTCATTTTATTTCGGTTCAGTCGTTTCTCTTAACAGATGATTTTCAAGTGGTTGTGAAGCTTTGGTTAAATGTTAGAATTGTAAAATTCATTGATTTTAGTTCTTTTGTTCATATTTTTATTGTTTTAGAGGGAGAGGGAGTTCACTAAAGTCCTTACTCTGTCATTTTGGAAGCTGACCTCTTCGTAGTTTTAATTATTTTAGATCACATGTTTTAATATCTTGTAAAGCAATTTTCCTTTAATAATTATTTTCCTAGAATTTTGTAACTATTCTTACCTGCTTGGCTAATTCTTCGGGAGAATGTTAGAGTCATTTGCTCAAGCTCCAGCTATAACTTCCATTGGTCCTTTAGAAGGCTATTTGGAAAACAGCTCACCTTCTTGGAATATCCAGGCTTCCCATTCTCTTCTCTTTAATACTGCTCAGTGAATTTAATGAATTTTTTCACGTGGATTCCACTGTATTTTTCCTAGGCATTCAAATGTTTTTTGTTGTGACTGTGGACTGTGATTAATATGCTGTGTTATTTTTTTAAAAAGATAAAGCAAACATTTCCAGGGGGAAATAAAAACTACTCATTTATGTACCTAAGGTTAATGAAGTCATAAGGGCTCCTTGGGCAACTGAGAGGTTTATTTTTTTGGTTTTTCTTTGAAGCAACAAAGTATCTTTGTCCAAGTTAAATCTTAAGCAGAACCTCATACATAAAAAATAAAAGCATAGTTGCCTGGCTGAACGAGACCCTGAGGGATGGCCCAAAGCCCTGCCGGCTCTGCCCCCTGCCTCACTTCTCAATGCAGTCCCTGAGGCAGTTTCCAACAGTGGCTGTTTGATTACCTGTCACAAATAGGAGCTCATCTGTGGGCTCCTTAGTATAACCTCTTGCCTTTTTTTTTTTTTTTAACATTTCATTCTACTTCAAGGTGTTTTTCCATCTCTATTCAGTGACCACTAACACAGCTGTTTCAATGAGATCTCGCCTCAACTGACCTAGACCACTCCCAGCTCTCATAAGTCAACAGAACAGGAAACTGAACATAGGCCTGAAGATGCAGTGAGTTCAAGAAAGAACATAGGATTTCTGTGAGACTTTGTCACTATCTCATCCTATGTCACAACAGAGAGAAGTGTCCTGACTCTACAACTTAGAAATACAGTGCCCAGTTTTCAACTAAATGAGCAGGTGGATTATATGATGTATGAGTTTTACTCCAGCAGAGAATACAGGGTATTAATGACATGGCTGACAGGGAAGAAGTAGGGCTCACAGGGCTTAGAGTCGCAGGGCTAAAGGCATCTTTAAACAAACACACAAAAGAAAATCTGTGTTCTAAATGTCTACAAAAGATTTTTTATTAATTAAAATTTTAGGATAAAGGAATTTTTTAAATAATTATGATACTTTAAAAAACTATTGAGTATTCAATGGTGTTTACACTTAGAAAAAACTTGAACTTAAAGAACAGACTGAGTGAAGTACCCAGGACTACCAGAGTGAAAGACGGGCAGACCTGCTGTGTGTGTGCTCATGAGAGGCTTTTCAACAAAAGGCAAACTGTACTCATTATGTCAAAGTTTGTTTGTGAGACTAATTATTCAATGACATCAGATGGCAATTCCTCTCATAGAAACGAGTTTTTACTCTAATCCAGCCCATATATTTACCTTCTGTGGCAATTTGTATGGGAAGGAATGAGATCTAGTCCAGTTTTAAAATCAATTCAATTTCTAAAGGGTTGGCGCTAAGCAAAAATGTGAAGTAATCTATGCAGTATTTTAAAACAATTGAGAATTATGACAACTTAAGTTACTTTCAGATATAAGAAGGGGGTAGCAAGAGGGTGGCGATCTCGGAGGGAGCGGATACACTTACCTCGGGGTAGTACAATCCGCGAAGGCCAATAGCCCGCGAGGGGGAGAGGAAGGCACTCATTCTGCACAACACTCATGAATAGCACTCCAGGGAGTCTTACTAATGATAGCTCAAAACTGTCAGTCAAATCCTAATAAAGACTGTGTATACTTCCCCCCAAAATGGCTTTCTTCTCAGAAGTAAAATCAGGCAAGGGACTGAGCTCTGGGAAGACACGGTGAGGCCGCAGAACAGTGTGGATGCTGTTTCCTCAGCCCCAGGGCATGACCTGCACCCCCATGTTCTGCCCTACATTCTCCTGGGCGTGAAATAGAATTTGTGTAATTCGTCCTTGGAAAAAATCACAGTGGAGTCTGAGAACCCTCTGGGGCCATCAGTTTTTGTCCTTCAGTATCCTAAATTCAGATAATCTCAACATCCAGAAATGTCCTTCGATTTGTTCTTTCTCTGATACCTTGTGTCCTTGGGATCAAAGCCTCTTTCACTGGCACCAAATAAAGCCCAGGGAGGAGTTCTGGCCACATAATCCTCCGCGCTGAAAGTTTTGGATCCACCACTGACTTCATATTCCTGGATAAGCTCCTGGAAGCGATCATAATCGATCCACGTCCACCATTCTCCATCAATCTTAAACTAGAAAGAAAAAAGTAATCAGGTGAGAAGTAAAAACATCCATTAAAAAAAAATCGAATAAATACCAAAAAATCAAAAATGAGCCTGATCTTTCATCCCTATCATGATAAAGAACATTTTTTCATGCTCCAGATATGGTTCCATATCAAAGCCAAAGAGTCAAAGGAGAGTTTCTTTTTTCCTTAGGACTCCAGCCAAACAACCTGGAAGACCAAGCTGCTGAATAAAGAATACAACCTGGACCTGAAAGTTAAGTTTCTCTTGAGCAGTATCCGTGAAAGAGGGTTAATTAAGTTTCTTGGCATTATCATGCTTTAACAGTCCAGCTAATTCTAATTTCTCTTGTCACTATTTTTTCTTTTATTAAAATTTCACTTTCAATTGGAGTTTACACTCAATATTATTTTGTAGTAGTTTCAGGTGTACAAGCATATACTTTACAAAGTGATCCCCTCGAGAGTTCAAGTACCCACCTGGCACCGCACATAGTTATTACAATATTATTGACTATATAGTGGTGCCTCGGTTTTCGAATGTGCTCCGTTCTGGAGACCATTTGAGTTCTGAAACGTTCAAAACCTGAGGGATCCACAGCTCACAGCTGGGCCTCAGGATCTTGCCCTCAGCAGAAGCCACATGGCAGGTTCCACTTCCGAGGTGTGTTGGAAACCGAAGCAATTACTTCTGGGTTTACGGTGTTCGTAAACCAGAATGTTCGTCAACAGAGACGTTCGAAAACCGAGGTACCACTGTATTCCCTATGGTGCACTTTACCTCCTGGTGACTATTTTGTAACTACCAGTTTGTACTTATAATTCCCTTTCCCTTTTTCATCCAGCCCCCTAACTCCCCTTGCCTCTGGCAACCATCAGTCTGTTCTCTGTATCTATGAGTCTGTTCCTCTTTTGTTTCTTCATTTGGTTTTTAGATTCCACATATGAGTGAAGTCATATGGGATTTGTCTTTCTCTGTCTGACTTATTTCACTTAGCATAATACTCTCTAGGTCCACCTAAGCTGTCGCAAATGGTAAAATTTCATTCCTTTTTACGGTCAAGTAATATTCCATTGTATATGTGTACTATTATATTTATATTCTCTTGTCTATTGATGGGCACTTAGAGTGCTTCCGTATCTTGGCTATTGTAAATAATGCTGAAAGAAACGTAGGGGGGCATATATCCTTTCGAATTAGTGTTTTGGGTTTCTTCAGATACATACCCAGAAGTGGAAATGCTAGGTCATAAGGCAGTTCCATTTCTTTGAGGTATCTCCATACCGTTTTTGATAGTGGCTGCCCCAGTCTGCATTCCTGCTAACAGTGCACTAGGGTTCCCTTTTCTCCACATCCAAGCCAGCACTTGCTTAATATTGATTTATTGATGGCAGCCATTCTGACAGATGTGAAGCAGTATCTCATTGTGGTTTTAATTTGCATTTTTCTGATGATTAGTGATGTTGAGCATGTTTTCAAATGTCTATTGGCCATAGGCATTTTTTGATGCAATTGTATTGGGATTCTTCTCTTAGTTTCTCTGGTAGTTAATTATTGGTGTATAAAAATGCAACCTCAATTTCTAAATATTTATTTTACATCCTGCTACTTCAGTGAATTCAGTTATCACTTCTGGTAGTTTTTTGGTGGAATCTTTAGGGTTCTCTATGTATTTTATCTTGTCATCTGCAAATGACATTTTACTTTTTCCTTTCCAATCAGGATGCCTTTTATTTTTTCCATTTCTGTCTGATCACTATGGCGAGAACTTCCAGTACTATGTTGAATAAGAGTGGTGAAAGTGGGCACCCCTGTCTCATTCCTGATCTTAAGAAAAACACTTTTAGATCTCCCCCGTTAAGTAAGATAATGGCTGTGTTTGTCATGTATGGCCTCTATTATGTGGAGGTATGTTCCCTCTGTTCCTACTTTGCTGAGTTTTTATCATAAATGGGGGTGCTGGATTTTGTCAAATGCTTTATTTGCGTTTACTGATACGATCGTTTGATTTTTATCCTTTGTTTTGTTTGTGTGACATATCACATTAACTGATTTGCAAACATTGAATCAACCTTGCATCCCAGGAATAAATCCCACTTGACCATAGTGTATGATCTTTTTAATATATTGCTGAATCCGATCTGCTAATATTTTGTTGAGGATTTTTGCATCCATGTTCATCAGGGATATTGGCCTATAACTTTCGTTCTTTGTAATGTGTTTATCTGGTTTTAGAATGAGGATAACGCTGGCCTTGTAAAATCAGTTGGGAGTCTGCCCTCCTCTTGAATTATTTGTAGTAGTTTGAGAAGGTCAGGTGTTAGTTCCTCTTGGATGTTTTGTAAAATTCACCTGTGAAGTCATCCAGGCCAGGACTTGTGTTTGCTGGGAGTTTTTTATTGCTGCTTCAATTTCATTGGTTGTAATCAATCTGCTCAGATTTTGTTTCTTCTTGTTTTAATCTTGGGAGATTGTTTCTAGAAATGTAATAATTTCTTCCAGATTGATCAATTTGTTGGCATATAATTGTTCATTGTATTTTTTATACTCCTTTGTATTTCTGTGGTGTCAGCTGTCACTTCTCTTGCATTTCTGATTTTATTTATTTGGGTACTCTCTCTTTTTTTCTTGATAAGACTGGTTAAATGTTTATCAATCTTAATTGTTTTAAATGTTTATCTTTTCAAAGAACCAACTCTTGATTTCCTTGATCTTTTGTGTTTTAAACTCTATCTCATTTATTTCCTAATCTCTAACTTCTTTTATTTCCTTTCTTCTACTCACTTTGGGCTTAGTTTATCGTTCTTTTTCTAGTTCCTTTAGTTGTAAGGTTGATTGTTTATTTGATATTTTTCTTGTTTCTTAATGTAGGTCTGTATTGCTATGAATTTCCCTCTTAGGACAGCTTTTGCTCTGTCCCACACATTTGGGGTTGTTGTGTTTTCATTTTCATTTGTCTCAAGGTATCTTGATTTCTTCCTTGATCTCATTATTAACCTATTCATTGTTTAGTAATATGCTATTAGTCTCCCTATGTTTGTGTGTTTTTCAGTTTTTCTTGTAATTAATTTCTAATTTCATACCACTATAGTCAAAGAAGATGCTTGATATGATTTCACTCTTTTAAAACACACTGAGACTTGTTTTGTGTCCTAACATGTGGTCTGCACAGGAATGGTGGTATTTGTCAGGAGTGCAGGAAGATAGCCTTTGCCTTAAAGCTACACAACTCTGCCTCCCCCAGTGGGTCTCCAGCACCTCCAGAGACTACCCAGAATTCCTCAAAACATTTTTAAGAAAGACTGCAATGCAGGCCCAGGCTGACTGCCTCTGGCAGAGCCCACAGCCATGCATGAGCTTGGCAGAGTGGGGCCTCAGAGAGTCATCAGGGTTGGGGCTAGTATAGCTCCCCAGGCTAATATAATATGAGGGGACTGCTCCACCAAGGAACAATGGGTAGTATGGGACAGGAACTCAACTCAGGGACATTTTCAGCCATCCCTCCAGCCCTCTTCCTAAAGCCACACAACTCAGTCTCTCCCCGTAGGACTCTGGCACCCTCTGAGCAGCTGTCCCTCCACCAGAGCCCAGGGTGAGTGCCTGTGAGATTTTGTGTGCTCTCCCTTTAAGGGGCACCTGGGTTTCCAGCTGTCTCCTGACTGGAAACCTGTACACCACCCAGGTAGACATAAGCCCTGATTCACCAAGGAGGACATAAGCTCCACTGCCATTCATAGCCAGATGTTATAGAGGCTCCTGTTTCCCGCACTGATGCTCCAAGCTACAGATCCTGGTGTAGGGTTAAGAACCCTTGCTCCTCAGCTGGGAACCTTTGCAACTGAAATATCCCACTGGATTCTCAACCACAACACATGGGAGTGGGGTCAGCCCTTTTTATTTTATCTTTATTGTTGAAAGTATTACAGATGACCCCTCTTTTTCCCCACTGATCCCCTCCACCTGGCATCCGCCCCTGCCCCCAGGCCTTCTCCACACTACTGTTTGTGTCCATGGGTTATGCATATATGCATATAAGTTCTTTGATTAATCTCTCCCCCACCTTTCCTCTGAGATCCCTCAGTCTGTTCCATGCTTCTATATGTCTGGATCTATTTTGTTCATCAGTAATTTTGTTCATTAGATTCCACATATGAGTGAGATCATGTGATACTTATCTTTCTCTGATTGGCTTACTTCACTTAGCATAATACTCTCCAGTTCCATCCATGCTGTCCCAAAGGGTAAGATATCCTTTTTTACAGCTGCATAATATTCCATGGTGTGGAGAAAAGGGAACCCTAGGACACTGCTGCTGGGAATGCAGACTGGTGCAGCCACTATGGAAAACAGTATGAAGTTTCCTCAAAAAGTTAAATATGAAACTGCCATTTGACCCAGTGATCCCACTTCTAGTAATATATCCTAAGAAACCTGAACTAGAATTTATGCACTCCTATGTTCACAGCAGAGCAATTTACAATAGCTAAGATTTGGAAACAGCCCAAGAGCCCACCAGTAGATGAGTAGATTAAAAAAAAGTGGGGCCAGCCCTTTTCATGTCTCCATCCTCCTACCAGTTTCAATGTGGCTTCTTCTGTAAATCCTTAGTTAAAACACTTCTGTTCAGCTAGTCTTTAGATGTTTATCCAGCCTGATTGTTCTATAATTTAGCTGTAATTTTGATGGGGTCATGAGAAGAGGTGAGTGCAACTTCCACCTACTCTACAATCTTGGATCCCTCCTTCTTGTCACTTTTTATCTGGTATGAATTTTCATGGTTGTATTAGTAGCACCTAGTGGAATCCGTTTTATTACTAAAATTTCCTTGCATTAGTGAGGTTTTAATCAATGACTTCCAATTCTGAAATGCTAACTCAATGACTCAAGCTAACCTTTTTAACCTAACATGGATACAATATCTCATTAATGGAAAGTTTTGTTAAGAATTTCAATTCAATAAAGGGAAATAATCCAATTTGTACTCTCTTAAGGAAATTGCTTCTCAA